TGTTTTCCGAGGCGGGGAACGAACTGCACGGGATCATCAACGTTATCAGGCAAACCGCCAACTCGGTGGTAGAAACTCGTACCATATTACATTGGGCGAGAAGCCGACCAGGTAGGGCTTGAGCTCGCAGCTTGCGCCGGTCTCCTCGAATTGGGCCTTCAGCCACACGGCGGCTTGACGTGCACCCTCGGAGAACGAGTGCCGCGACTCAAGCGGCGACAAGGGGTCCTCCCCGGTGAGATAGCGCACGTCTTTGCGCAACTGTGGGATGGATATGTCTCCAATGAGGGACGCGATCACAGGATCGAATTTGACTGATGCGAGGAGTTTGCGGACGCGCTCGAGCGCGGCGGAGGATACAGCCACATAAGGCACGGGCGACACGGGGAGCGGGGCAGCTTTCCAGAAGCGAGGGAGGTGGGTGTCGATGATGAGAGCGAGCGAGGGCGACACGGAGAGGAGGAAGTGGGAGGGGGAAGAATAAAGGATCTGAGAGCGCGAAGGCGTATCGAGGATCTGCTGCTCGCGTGAACCAGTGGCCAGGTCAGGTCGGGAGACATCTAACTGGTCGAGGAACAGCGTGATATCTTCCGTGGCGAAGAGAGCGATGCCATCGTCGACAGACTGGCGCTCTATCCAGACGAGCTGCTGGTCGCCAAAATTTACCAATGGTACAACAGAACCAGAAGAGAGGAGACCGTCGTCGGTGGACGAGCCGAGGCAGGTGTCATTGACAATAAAGAGGCTCTGGGTGCCATACTGCCCGTAGTAGGAGCTGGAGAGACATGAGTCTGCCTGGAGAACAGCAGGTTGGTGAGGGGTAAGGAGGAGGAAGGCAAGGGGGACAGCGGTGGGTGTGAACATGGCTGTCAGTCTCAATCGCTGGCAGCGACGCCGAGAATTATGTACTCACAGACGCCTCGCGAGGATGGCGTCTGCTCGGACTATTCGGCTGCTGACAGGTCGTGGGTCGGGCCCAATATCCGGCTAGGTTCCTGGATAAGGTTCAATATCGTAACGGACGCATGATTCGAAAGAATTCTTTTCATCGCCAATAGCTAAATAACAAAGAAAACAGTATTCGGCGAGTTCACTTACAATAGTATAGCAAGAGGTAGAGGCAGGGACGGGCAGTCTGAGTCCATGCTAGATCAACACGCCGCTTCTCTGTGATGTCAGCAAACCTGCCCACATGCTTGACAAAATTCGCAGAAAGACGTTTGCGAAATCCGGGCGTGACCCATGTCAATGGCAAGGCGCATATTGATAAGGGCTCGTGCACTTGTATAATAATTGATGTTCGACGTTTGATAGGCTTGTGTTCGTATCGGCTGCTCACAGCGCAGATGATGCAGGAATGTGGTGAGAGTGACAAGCTGTTGTAGAAATAGGCCTAGTAGCTGTGCGAAAAGCGCTAGCCATTGCAATGGACGGAAGCAGAATAGTGGCCTGATCGAATGATCATCTGGCGCACACACATTCAATAAATTGGAACCGCGCGTCGTATTCGGTACTTCCTAATGAAGCTGTGGCTCCTCCGGGCTCCGTTGTTTACCCGTCGCAAATCTCACGTGTTCACGTGATATGTGGCTGGCGTCAGTATGTTTGTTTGTGAGTCTCATTTATTGTCTTTTGAGGGCATGGACAGTAGTCCAGCCTCCGATGTAATAAATCGAGCTACGGCCAATAAGTAGCCCTGCGAGGCATGCCTCGCACAGATGCCTCACACCTTGCCATGATGGACTAACATGTACTATTGCGATACTGACGACATTCCGAAAAGCTCGGAATGATTCAGGTCTCCCAAGGCAGCCCGAGAGATTCGGAGTCGGATGGCAGGGACAACACTGGACAATGGTTAGTCATCGTCGTATGTGCTCGTCCAGACGCTCCAAATGCACGATCAATAAGCACTCCAGGCAGCATTGACTACAGATTGCCGTTGCGCTTCCAACTTTGGCGCGTTCGCGTCATGCGATCCTGCGAGCACGACAGTGTTCTCCCACTGGCCAGGCTGCGGGACTATTCAACGGATGACTAAGGCATGTCTCTCTAGCATTCTGGTCGTTTATATTCCGGTCGCGGTCCACCCCTGCTTCTGACCGGGATCCTGCTTACAAAGTCCGTCTCACCAGGAGGCGGCTGCTTCGTCCCAAGTGCTATATAAACGAGCTCGGCCTCACCTTTTGCCTCATCGTCGTACACCACTCATACACAGAAGTCTCTCGCAATGGCCACAGCAGCAGTCCTCGCACCCCATGACGTCCCGACGACGCTCAACTACTATTCTCCTATTGGAGAAGAGGCACCGTACCAGTATGTTATCGAGCCGCCAGAAGGTGTTCCTCGCGATAATATCGGTACCGACACCCACCCCGTTACCGTCCATGATGCTCGCGGCCGTGAGGCCGAATTCACGATCGATAATGGCGGCTTCCAGTTCGTGAAGCACGTTAGCGCCGAGAAGGACTTTGACGACGAAGAGCGCATCAAGGCGGAGTACTATAAGGAGGTTGAGGAACTTCTGAAGAAGGAAGTTGGCGCGAAGCGCGTCTTCATTTTCGACCACACTATCAGGTTAGCACAGGTTAGCTCCGTCCGTCTAGGAGCGCCGCATGTTAATTGCATCCACAAATCAGGCGCAAGCCCGCCCCCGAAGTTGGCAGCAGACCTGATAATCGCGGACCAGTCGTACGTTCTTCCTGCTGTCGCATCTTGCAGAGGCTAATTATCTCGCAGGAGCGCGTGCACATCGACCAGACGTTCGAAGCGTCTGTGCTGCGCGTGCATTACCACCTTGGCGAGGAAGCAGACCGCCTTCTCAAAGGGCGCGTCCGCATCATCAACGTGTGGCGTCCTATCCACCACCCCGTCGCACACAAGCCGCTCGCCGTTTCCGACTGGCGCTACCTCGACACCAACCACGATCTTGTCCCGGTGCGCTTCATCTACCCGCACCGCGAGGGCAGCGTATACAGCGTGCGCTACAACCCGAACCACAAGTGGTATTACCTCTCGAACCAGACTCCGGAGGAAGTCACGCTCATTAAGTGCTATGACTCGGATGTGAACCGCGCGAGGCTGACTCCGCACTCGGCGTTTTTGGACAAGAGCAGCCCTCCGGAGGCCCCGCACCGGGAGTCCATTGAGATCCGCTGCCTCGTCTTTGACAGCGAGTAAGGTGCCAATTAGTTGAGCCTCGTTCGGTTGTGCGGGTGGAATTCTTTTTGTGCAGCATTGGAATGATGGATGTATTAGTATAGGTCTCTGCACGGTGAATGTCATTGTCATGTTAGTGGATCTTGAGTGCTAGTTCTTACTGGATACTGCTGAACGAGCGACAGTTGAGATTCCGGGTCCAAATATCACAGAGACGTTGTGCACGCTAGCTATGGGTGGGCATTGATCATCACCCGGCGGGACCTTCGACATTCGGAGTCTCATGTACATTTGACAGTAGGTTGAACAATTATAGGAGACACATTGGTCTGAGTAGGTATGAGACACTTCATAACTTGTCATAGGCAGTTACAACGAATATCAAGTGCTGATTCTGGGCGTTTGCCACTGGGACATGGGATCACACTAACGAGAGCAAAGAATTGTTCATAAGTCGAAACGTTGTGTTAGCGGCGCATCAAAAACGTAAAATATAAGAAGTCTGGCTTATTCATTGATTGCGAGGATTCGAACAGCTTGCTTCGAACCATCGCTCGCTCATCCAATGGTAGCAGCTACGCCTCGCGATATCTCAACGACTCTGAACTATTTCGAGCCACTGGACGAGGAGGCCCTGTACCAATACGCTCTGACAGCCCCAGAGGGAAAGCTGTTGCACAATTGAGGAGTAGACACTCGGCCGGTAATCATCCACGACGCTCGCGAAAAAAAAAAAGGAGTCATTCTCGCTCGACGAAAACGGGCTACTTACGTATTATGAGGAAGTGAAGGAATTATTGAAGCAAGTTACCGGCGCTAAGCGTGTGGTCGTATTCAACTGAATTGCAGCTGTGTTACCAGTGTGTCAATATCATACTTCGAGATCTCGCGCAACGTACTTTATACATTCACATATTTTAGTTTATGACTGCGGCCGCCTCATATATCTGAATTTTAGAGATGGAAATGATAGCGCTCACAATAAGCTGGAAGTGCGACTAGATGAGCCCCTCATGGCTGATCATAGGATGTCGGTGACATGATCCGAGTCCGCGTGAAGAGAGTCAGCAGACGTGGCATAGACAGACTAAGACAGTACAATGCACGAGCTTCCTGATTGCCGTATACCGCCTGTTGTTCCAGCTCGAGTGATGGTAGACTGTTAGAGTCAGGGCCTTTGAGAAAAGATATACATCAATGCTGGATGGACCAGATCAGGCTATATGCCGCTCACCGCGAAATGCCACGTCCACGCTTTCGGTCAGATTTTCGCGGCCTGTTACACAACATGCATAACCACCTACCGAGTTCGTGGATTAGGACGACTACTCATGGCTCATGGAAGGCATCTCAAATGCGGTGTTCGTTGCGCCAGGACACAGACCTCGCAATGACCGCGGGGACAATAATTGCCAAGGGCCTGCGAACCATCAAGTGCTGCCTGTCACGCCCTCTGAAACCGCCATAGGCAAATTCTGGAATTGTGATCTAGAGCCATAATCAAGAATTTGAGCGTATCCTGCGACAATCTGTTCACCAAGAATGAATTAGCCACTTTCTACATCAAGGAAGAGCAGAACTGTAAGGTGTGGGTGGGTGAGAGAGTGCAGTATGGGCTCTAGTGCAGGGGACAGAATTCGGCCATGGCCCATCCATTGGAATTAGCCCAAACAGCTTTGTTCTCACTCTTACTCCCAGCTTAGCCTCCCGAGAGCTGACATAGTCACCTTATGTCTGAAAAGGCCAAGGAGCTTTCAAGTCATGACACCAAAGACGTTGAAGGAAACCAGCTCACAATCGCGGGGTACTACCTTGCATTCAGTGAGGCATCAGAGCGGGGATATTAGATGTGCCGGACATCGCTCTCAGGTCCTTTATACATAACACGAATGTACGGTGGCGAGAGTGACAACGAGTGTGGGCAAAGATATCTTCAGAGCAACAGAGCGACAGCCAAACGTAGCGCACATAGCATGTCTCTGGACGATACTTGAGGCCTTGAGGAATTACCAGGAAGCATGTCATCCCGATCGACGACACGCCGTCACTTCGTCTGGCTAATCTCAAGGAAATCACTGGCTACGACGGGTTGGCAAACAATTTATGTAGAAAAATAGGAGGAGATGATCAGACCTATAGTATTTCAGGACCTTACGGAGATGACTTCCACAAGAGAGGAAACATAGTGTGTGGGTTACTGTCGGAGAGGTACCGGTGTGAATTCGAGAGGATGAGAAGTATTGAAGCATCAAAGGTCTTGCCGAATTTCAGAACGACACGAGGCCCCTCAGCGAGCCAGAGCTGCGTTGCCAATGAGGCCCGCTTCACTGAGGCAGTGGTGGCACTGGGAGACTCACATGGTCGCATAGGAGGGCTGTCTGGGGGCCGCGCCGCGTTTGGACTCTCAACTTCCGACTTTCTAAGTTCCACCATGTGTTGTCTTTAAATTTGGCAGAGAGGCTGCATCTTGACATACAAGCCTCAATACGACTGTACACCGACATACAGAGCAGTATTCATCCATCTTTTCGGGCGGGTCACCACTGGATAAAACTGATGTTTTCGGACTTGTCAGAGTCTGCCTATTGGGCGCATAGCTGCTTTCCTTGATTCATCACATTCATCACACAACGGCCAGCTTGACTACGATGCATCTCCGGTGCAACCATGGCCTTAGAGCGCCTTGCCAATGCCCCATCTCTGCCGCAGCCAACTGTGAAATGGTAGTATATCAGTCGCGGGTCGCCCGCAACTCAGCACTCATCTGTCCATATCCCCATCAACCCATTCCGGATTCTTTAAAACATGATCACGCTTTCACATAGCTTCTCTTCGCTTCACCATAAAGGAGCTATGCGGGCGTGAGTCTTAGCAGTCATCCTCCGTATCCAACCTGCGGGCTTGCCGCCTCTCCTCTTTCCCTGGCACGACTTCTTGCACGGTCGTCCTCTGAATGTTCTCACTTGCAGGCAAGCTGTTCAGCAGAGCTAAACCCGCAGTACGCATTATATCTTGGTATTGCCCGTCCAAGCTAAGCTGATAACGCCTGCTTGGTCGTTTGTACAATCAGTATGCCAGTATCACTCTTACCCGGTGTGGCGTGGTATTCATTTTGTTGACCTGTATACATTGCTTCGCCCAAGCGGGCATTCACATCGCGTTGTATCGCGAAGACCGCACCGTCGCGTCCCTCATCACGAACATTGCATATGAGTCCCAAATTTCGATGAACGACGTGGCTTGGTTATTGCACAGTAACGGAGCCCTCGACCTCAAGCTCTGCTCCGATATTCCTCTAACGGCGAAGGGCATTGCTACTTGTTCAACTGTATTTGCGACTGGGACGCAAGAACCGACTAGCGCTGCGTCGCAGTCGAAGGCTTTGAACATGGCTAACAAGGTCACTGGCGAGCAGCCCGTCAATCGTCGTTCGCTCCAGATTGATCACATTATTACGTCGAAGAACTCAACAGGCGCTGTGGATGGCGTTAACATAACATATAATGATGGTGCCAACAGCGTGTTTCTCACACAACAGTGTGCACGCGTTCTCGTATATCCATCTGAAGTGTAGGTTTCCATTTCGTCATGTCATCACCAATCTACGAAGGTCTCAATCACACGTCGATTAGCGTGAATAGCTACAAGTACGAAGACATTGCTCTTCTTGGAGCCCAGTTTTGGTTGTTGGTTCTCTCCTTTATGGCGGTTCGTCTAATGATCATCAATTTCTGCATCACGAATTCTCACCTCACTCATGCCTCTCGTATCACAGATAGTATTTGGATCAATCCCACAGATGTACGCTCTGTCAGAAATCAATCGACGTGTCTATTTTTGACGGCGCATTCTTGATTGTCGTCTTACAGACTAGCGGTTCTCTCAACGAGATTACTTGCCACAGCCTGGTCGGCATACTCCATTTGGTTCACAATCTATCATAAAGATACCTTCTATCGGCTGGTTGTCGCACCAGGCACGTCCTGTGCATTCAATCTGTTTCCCACATTCTTTCAGATACGAATAGCCTTAGGAGTGAGTTGCCCCCGGAAGTGTCCCGAGCGTTTATGCCGACAGGTTGACGTGCTGGGATCTAGATCGCGGACCTGGTACTCAACACCACTGCCCTCGCTTTCACCGGCTACCTCGGGCGGCACCTTATCCAAGTGAGCTCATTTGTTAACCATTTACGCGTTATATGACATGGCATCCCGTTGACCGTCTCGGCAGGTGTTCGGTGCATTCACATTCCAGCGCGTCGGCCCGCCATCTCATGTCGTGTGCATTTATCGCGTCCGTGACTGTTGTGCCTAACGACTCCACTTCGGACTGACGTGTGACACAGCTCTTCCTGGCCCTATGGGTGTTTCTACAACTTTCGGTGTATTTCCTCATCACCCCCATTGGCCTTTGGATCACCTGGCTACTCAACGGGAGTGCCCTTGGCCAGATCACGCGAGAAGCCACGCTCTATCAGGCGCTGTTCATCGCTACTGTTGCAGTAAGTCTTTTCTTGATTAATGCATGTCTCCGCTTTAACACCAGCTGAATAGACTCTGCCCCTGTGGGTTATCCTCGTAAGTTGACGTTTCATCTGCCTAGTTTTCTCGAGCCTACCAAACTCAAGGATTGCATTGAACGTAGGGCTGGCATGCCGTGCGACGTGAGCACAAGCTTCTCATGGTAGTATTCCTGCTCCTCTGCGCCACATACATCGCGTGCTGGCTGGCCATGTTCAGGGCACACGTGTATCGATGGATATTCCTCCAATGGACGTTTTTCAGCTGCCTCACTGGAGTGTCGTTCGTCGTCCTTATCGGCACTGGTGTGCTTGGCGTACTCTGCTGGACGAAGTTTGGACGAGGACTGGGAGAATTTCGTGAGCCTACAAACTATTCTCACACGCTCTACAATATGGGCTGAGGTGTGCATATCGTGTAATTCGTCCAGTGCGCATCGAAGCCGCACTAGCGGACGCAGATTTCTCGCCTGCGCTTTTCTCCAACAAGATGGAGGCGGGGTCGGAAAAACAAGATCTGAGCAGGTTCTCGAGTATGTGCTCGGAGCCTTCTAGCAAGATCACGTCCAGGAAAGACGACTCTTGGGATCCGTTTCAGGTTGATCAGTCGCCTGTTATTGTTATCTCTGTCCAAAAGGACGTGTCAGTCCTGCCGCGGTGAGACTGGGCTCGGATCCGTATTACACATGGATATTATGTATCGGGACGCTGCTGCATTCCCCTTGTCACGCAGTCTCTGGAAGACCACGTGTATATACCTCATCGACATTGTATCCGATAGTGATACATAGACTGTGTTATACGATACCAGTTGATTGTGTATGTACAAAACAGTGAACAAGAGTATGCCATTCGTTTTATGTTTTGTATGGGTAAGGATTGGTGATTTCCGGGATGTGCGCGAGGCCAGCGCATCCGCCTGCTCGTATACACTCCGCCAATGACATTCCAACGTCCAATCCTTCAAAGTAAGCACCGTGCAAGAACCCTATTCATTCGTTCAGTAAGGAAAGAACTTCCATCTGAACTGGCTGGTCGCTCACCGAAATACTTCAGACTCGTTGCCTCACCAGCAAACCACAGCCTCTGGTCTACCGTCGCGCGGAGGTTTTCGTGATGGCCATTGAAGAACGATGCGGGCCAGTTAGAGTACGACCCGCGGAACAGCGGGTTCGTGTGCCATCGCGGGAAGTAGAAAGCGGTCGGCTGCGGGATGGTCACGTTGGGATACATGGCCTGGAGGACCCCCATGACTTCGGCCTGCACCTGTTCGTCCGAAAGTGCCTCAATGCGGACCGAGTATTCCCCCTGTGATATAGCACTTGTTAGAGTGCATGTCGAAGAAAGGGCGGGAGCCGACGTACTGTGACCGTCACAAATACTATCCCAGATCCCGGGAAGAATTCTGTCAAATTCATGTTCTGCCATACGGGATACCTGCCACGGGTGGTGTCCGCATATATTGCCATCTGTGACAGTCATTCATGAGCCAACTGTCTGTACGGTAGGATGAGGTCAAGACATGTCGTACCTGGGTGCCGAACCAAAAATCATCCTCAAATTGGAGGAAAATCTTTGTATATGTAGCCTGTTTAGGGATGGACAATTGAGGTAAGATGACGTAGAAATTCAAATGTCGGGAGACGGACCATGACCATGCTTTGGATAGCCTCCTGCTTCCAGTCTGGCAAGGAAGGCTCGAACGAGACATCGTCATTCTGCAGCACACCGAGACTGAATGTGCATAGGGCGTAATCCGCAACGAGCAGCGTGCCATCCGTAAGCGTTACGTTGACACCTGAGGAAGAATACGTGATGTTTGTCACAGTTGAATTGAGCATAAGTTGTTGAGGCTGCAGGAACTCTTCTGCTTCAGCCTGGATGAAATACTTGAACCCGCGCTGATCAATCGACATTTGGTTGGTGTCTGAGAATCCACCGACGTCCGTGTCGTAGGTAAAGTTGTTACCCTATGCCAAGGTCAGCAGGTATATATCCAAGAACGATTGTCCTGACATACCCAAGAACTAGCAATGAACGACGACTCCTCAGGTGTCTGCGCATACTCCCAGTCGAATTGATAGTACTCGCACGCCTTCTCCGCCGGTGTCTGAGGCTTGGAACCGATAAGCGAATAACCAGATCGTGCGTTCAAATCAACCAGCTGCCTCTGCACACGCGCACCAGCCGCGACCGTCAGCGTAGTATATTCGTTACTAGAGTCGTTGAAGACGTCGAGGTAATCCACGTAGCCAGTCTCATCATAAGTAGCTAGATCGAACGCGTGAAAATCAGACCTTCGAACCAAAAACCCGAAATTACGCACTCATGCTTCCGTACCAGTCGTTCGCTTGTGTTTTCACACCATGCTTCTTTACAAGACCCCAGATCGGATTCTCTGGACCGTCACCGGTCTGGGTTCCTTGCACCCAATTAGGCCCTCGCTCAACGACCCATTCGTTTCCTGGCACGCCGATGGTTTCAGTCTGCATACGCCCACCGAGTTCATCTACACATACGATACAGAGACGAAAGGTGTGAGCACACATAGTCATCAAAAAGGGCAAACGCACCTCGTGCTTCGACGATAATGAAGTCCGTGATGCCATTCTCATAGAGCGTACGCGCCGCAATGACTCCCGCAACGCCACCACCGAGGATAAGGACGGTCGGGTCTGCGACCTTGATGGTCTCACTCCTTATTGAACGCGCAGATACCCGCGTCGCGTACGCGTATAAGCAACCCAATAAGGTCCAGCGGAAGAGACTTGGCGTGAACATTGTGCAACAGGACACGCTAAAATCCGGCCAAGAGGGGGTGGGCTTCCCGTGTGAGGGTCGGGCGAGCACAGTGCTGGGAAACCTGCCTGGGATTTTAAGGGCAGAGCATGGACCAGGCGGCAAAGTGATAATGATATTGAAAGATCTGATGCGGGTCTACGCCGCCTTCGCGTTCGGATGATATTTGTAGCCACCAGTGAGCACCTGGACGTGGAAATTTGAAGTCCCATGCCGGAATGAAGACCGTATTGTGCCTAAGGCTCGTCAGGGGAACCTGCTAACAAGTTACAATTGACGCACGTCCTCGACTATCAGAAGTCTTAGACACTCTCACGTACTTGAAGTCGTATATAATCAGTACAGCGCGAGGACTTTCCAGGAGGTTTTATACATACATGTCAATCAAGGGCCCACCCACACATGGTGCTGTCGAATGTTGCGGCTTTGGAAGATCAGACGATGATGAGGAGTGCCGCAAGTCGAGTCGGTTTTTGCGAACGCTAACACTTAAACGTGCCGTATACGAACCGGTGTGCATCAGCGGGAATATCAGCCACTTCGACTCCGCACTAGTACTCACCGACTCAGATGATCATATTATTAGGACTAGCATTGGAGCCAGAGAAGATGGCCGGGCGCGAGGGGTGGGTATAAATGCAAGGCCACGATGATTTAAACGCTATCGGTATATCTTTGTCGATCCCGTTCATGATATGGCTCAAGCCCGCCCACGGAAGCAAATCCGCTTATCGCCCTCTGGTGTCTGCATTCTCTTCAGCACCAGACGCACTGAGGCCCCGCCATGGACTTGCAGCGGGAACTCTTGGAGCTGTACAACACCGTCTTCACATATCCAGCGATTGACAACCACGCGCACGCCCTGCTCAAGGTCGAACATCGTGACGATATCCCGTTCGAAGGGCTCATCTCGGAGGCACAAGGCCCTGCCTTGACAGAAGATGCCCCTTACACTGCTGCATGCTATCGCGCGACCGCGCAGCTCGCGAAGCCTCTTGGCCTAAGTGCGTCGGCAGACTGGGAGGACATCAAGCGAACGCGTCGGGCAGCGAACTACGAGCAGCTATGCCGCACGTTCATGGCCCCGACAAGGATCCAGTGTATCCTGATCGACGATGGGCTCGGAGTAGTGGACATGGTGTATCCGTACAAGTGGCACGACCAGTTCACTGGGAGTCCCACGAAGCGAGTGGTCAGGGTCGAAGTAGTGGCTGAGGTGCGCATTCGATATACGTACGCCCCAGATCGCGGAGCTGAACCGCATCCAGGGAATCCTCAAGGATTTGTTCGATACGCAGCTTGTTATAGTCGGATTGGATCCCCTCGCTCTCTTCGATTCGTTTTCCTCAAGGTTTAACGCGACACTTGCCGCGTATGCTGCAGACCCAGAAGTTGCCGGTTTCAAGTCGGTCGTATGCTATAGGACTGGGCTCGACATCGAGTCTGGCTTCAGCCGTGAAGAGGTCAAAGTGGCATTGGTTGGATCCGCTCTACGATACGAGAGCTTGAAAAAAGTTCGCGTGCAAGACAAACCGCTGAATGATTTCATCGTGAACACCGTCCTCCGCATCGCAAGTGGGTGTGGTAAGCCAGGTGCGTCCTTCGATGACAGCGATCTCCTCAGAGCGCACTAACACACGGACAGTGCAATTCCACACCGGCCTTGGAGACAACGATATCACCCTGTCGAAATCGACTCCCGCTCTCATGCAGCCAATCATCAAGGCATATCCAAACGCTAAGATTGTCCTACTTCATTCTAGCTACCCATTCACCCAGGAGGCAGGGTACCTCACCGCCGTGTACCAAAATGTATATCTCGACTTTGGCGAGATTTTCCCATTTTTGAGCGCAGATGGCCAGCGCGACGTCGTGAAACAAGTGCTAGAGTTGTGCCCAACGAACAAGATTATGTGGTCGAGTGCGTCCGTCTATGGTTATGATGCATTGCAGATTGAATTGGTACCCTACGTTTAGCCGACGGCCACTTCTGGCCCGAATCATACTACCTCGGAACACTCCAAGCAAGGGATGCTGTATATCAGGTGAGATTATCGTTGAATCTGACATGCTCCATGATTGAATGAGATTTGATAGGTGTTGGAGGCTTCCATGAAGCGCGGGGAATTGAATTTGGCGCAAGCAACGGGAATTGCAAAACGCGCCTTCTTCGAGAATGCAAACAGAATATACAATTTAGGTCTGACCCCCAAGATTGTATGAGTAGATCATCATGTGTATCATTAATACCAGGCTGAGGAAGCGATCGTGGGCGCGTTAGCTACATATCTTCATTTTCATCTTCCTCAACAGTCTGCAACCCCTGCTCTTGCGCCAACTTGATTGCAGCACTTTCCTTGTCTCGAGCGAATTGAATGAGTGATTGCAGTATAGCTCGCTGTCCTGGTGAGCCGTTGCTGGAATCAGAACCCAATATCACAAAGAATCAGCTAGCCCACCTTCTAAGTAGTGCTCTAACATGAGTAGGACTTCCGGACGTATTCGATCTTCAGGCGGGTTGGCAATCGGGAGACGATCTAGCAAATTCTGCGCCATCTCCGCGAGCACTTCGGATGCGTCTAATTCGTCGTCGATCGTCTGTTCCTCCGGGTCATCGCTGACCGCAGTCAGTATCGCGCGCCACATTGGCCCTGCGCCTTGCGCATTCCGGCCCACTTCCCACTTCTGCTGCTGTAAGCCTGACGCTGAGTTGCCGCCAATTTTGAGGACTATAGTGTCGTCAGGGTTCTCTGGAAGAGAGAAGCCGTATCCTAGAATGAGCTCGGCGTTTGGTTTAGGACCATAATTGTTCAGCAGCTCGGAGCCGGCTGGTGTACTCTTGTGAAGGACCAACGAGATTCGATTCCTAAACAAACGCTTAACGCCACAACTTTTCAATTACCAATGAAATACGAACACGTCAGAGGATGTGCCGATAGAGACAACCCATGACACCGGCTGGCCTCTTGAATGATTGAGGGAGTCAATGCCAGGAAGGAGAACCGGATATGATTCCTCCGTCGATACGAGAGACGGGTTGGGAGAGAGGACCATAGACGGGAAGGCACGAGAGGACAAGTAGGTTGACGCGGATAGATATCGTTCCCTGCGCTTCTTGTACTCAGCCTCTCGACCACGGCCAGTTCAGGCTTCGTTCACTCACCAACTGAATTGTTCACCCCACGTTAGGTCAACCGTTGCGATCGTCTTCTGACACTGCTCCCACTCAGACTGCCAATCTCTCCGCCGATCCAAGGTTGCACCATACAAGTTGGATCCCTTCAGTGCCTCTAGCTCTGTATCGGAGAAATGCAGAGGTGTGCGGAGTTTGTCTGGTGCTGGGAGCATTCGGATGTATGGCCAGTGGGCCAGCTCAGAAGAACTGTGTGGATCACGATGGGCAGAGTCAATAGAATAACCAGAAAGATGCACAAAGACTTTCTTACGCTGAGGGATCTAGAATCCAGTGCATGCATATGTAGGAGCAAATGAGCTGTCTTTCAGACCAGCTTTGGCCAGTGAACGTGGGGCCAAGCAACGTCGTCAACGCATTTTTGGAGACCTCTGGAGTAATGGCCAAGGAGAAGGGGCAGGATACAACCGTCGTATCAGAGCGTAGGTCCTGGCTTGCGATCACAGAATATCCAGAGCGTTCTGCGAACGGAATGAATTTATGGGCTGAGCAAACACACGAGATCGCTACCCAAGATACATACCAGTCCTAAATGCTGCATGTGGATGAAATTCTGCTCCATTCTCTGCCAGCCAGTTCTTGAACGCGACGACATCGCCATTTGCGGACACAATTCCATCGTCGTCCGGTGTCATCACCATCGACGAAATGCACAACGAAATTGTTGATGGAGACCAGTCCGTTCACGTCCAGAAGAATGAGGCGCAAAAGCCAGGCCTCCACAGAGCGTGCAAGCGAGGGAGACCATGCCGTCGGTGTCCAAGTTAGTAAGACGCTCGTCCAAACAGGTCTCTCATGATCTCATACCTCATGCGCTTTGCCCCTTAACTTTTGTGTATTAATAGGATTTGTATAAAGGGAGGGGTGGCCTTCTCCAGGCCAAGATCGTTCATATCCACTGCACTCTCATCTTTGCCTTTCCATCACTGTCGTGAGCACCATGTTCAAGAAACCATTTGCCGACTTGAAGACCATCGGTACGTCCTCCAGTCTTTCTATTGCATAATGGTAGCGAACAAGAGAGTTACTAGCACCACTCAGGACATCTGATCGCCGGAAGCTGAAGCAGCGAGTTCTAGAAACCTTCAAGATTCTGCAACCGGAAGAGGGCGACGTGCTCGTCCCGGAGGGATTGCACTGGCAGAAATTCACGACCTATGCGGATGAGCCGGGTGTATGTTGCACACTTATCTCTAGCATTGCGGCTGACCATAAGTATATGCATAGATAGTATATCTCTCAATAGAAGGGGACCCCCTCTGGTTCACAATCGGGAAGGATTCAGACGAGCTGATTCCGACCGGTACGTGATACCTTCCAGCAGCTCTGATCGTCTTCTAAAAACATACCTGCAGTGTATACTCTGTGGAAGCGTCCCAACATGCTCCCACTCGTCTCTACTCCTGCCGCTGTGATACCGAAGTTGGTTAACGGGGCAGATCTCATGATACCCGGAGGTCAGAAGCTCGGTCTTGCCTCATCCAGACTTCGTCTCATATCCTTTGTGTCCTGTATTCCGTCAAGCCAGTCGTCCAATACTCGACAGATCTTACGGAAGGACAGCTTGTGTCGATCACTCAATACCACGGCGGGAAGATCGGGTATCCTCTAGCAGTCGGTCAAATGGCAGTGCCTGGAAACACAATAGCGCAAGCTGAACAGGCCGACGTAAAGGGGAAAGCTGTGTACGTCTTGCATGCCTGGAAAGATGCGTTATGGGAGATGGGGCATAGGAGCAGAGCAGAGGTGCCGGACCCCCTACCCGAAAACCCTAGCATGTCTGTTGAGAGTTCAGACACTACAACTGTTGCGAACAATGGTGTCTCTCAAGAGACAGACACCATTGTTGAGCAAGCTGTACCGACAGACTCGACTGCAGCCGCATTGATATCCGCAGAAACGGATCTTCCGGCTCTTACCGCGGAGGGTACGTCCATATAATAGTAGACCCGTGCACTTCCCGCCGTACAGTCTCAGCGGCAGGGAACTCGTCAACAGTGCTCCTCTTCGATCGATCCTGAGCTCGGACGGATGGACTCATATATTGTTGCAGATGTAACAAACTGCCTACGGTCCGCAGTTCTGCAGGCAATTGCTTCGACGCTAGCCTCGCTACCGCCTTCTGCATTTCCCATGCCAGCATCGACGTTTTGGAGCTCGTACATACTTCCAGCGCGGCCATATCATGCCCCAGGCACGAGGGGCAGCACAGGTGAGATGTTCCCATCCTGCATGAGGTCGCGACTGACATGTAGAGCCTAGACGCGAGTGCAGTTGACGTGAAGCGGTCGACGTACAAATCTGTGAAAGCTTTCCTGAAAGCAATGGCAAAGGAAGGCTTGATCAAACTCAAGGATTCCAAGGGCGGTGATGTGCTGGTGACCGGTATGTCATAATGAGCCATCACGAGCGCGTTCGAGTTTCAAGTATTTGCGGGTACCAGCTGTCTTCCCTAAGCATCCGGCGGTGGCAGGACATCAGCTGCACCGAAGTGTCAAAGACGTTGAGACCAAGCAGCAACGGGCCGAAGACCGGGAGCGCAAGGAGAAGGAAGCCGAGGAGAAGCGCAAGGGCGAGATACAAGTCACAGAACTATGGAAACCCTTTGAAAAAACACTGAACTGGTTCGTCGCTGCGGATAAGGAGTGCGTATATGTACTATATTGCCACCGGGAGTGAATCTCATTCGTTATGGTAGGACGTCGGAACTCTACACGATGAGCGATATCAAAACTACTCTGAACGAGTATGTATCAGCGAAGAATCTCATCAATGCGCAAGAGCAGCAATATCTCAACGTCAGTGAAGACTCCGCGCTGCTAGATGCGGTCACCGACAAGAACGAGACTGATGTGGAGTTCTTGAAGCGCGAAGAGGTTCTGACCCGAATCAGAAACCACATGCAGAGCTGGTATGAAATCCGGGTCGAAGGGAAGGATGTGGTTCGGAAGTATGTCTAAGGCTCGCCCGTGCATGGAAGGTGTGCTGATCGTTCCACACAGGAAGGGGCAGCTGAAGGCGATACAAGTGGTGGTCAAGGTCCGCCAGGGCCGGAAGGCCTGCACGTTTGTGACGGGGTTTGAGCCATTTAAGTTGAACGCAGACGACTTGGCTGACGATCTCCGCAAGCTGTGCGCGAGCTCTACTTCAGGTCGGTTTCGTCTCATGTCATCAGCATATGGCGTCCTAATTTGCACGACTTCCAGTCGCACCTGTGCCAGGGAAAGGGTCGGATATGGAAGTTATGATACAAGGCAAACAAATCAAGACGGTGACAGATCTTCTCATCGGAAAAGGCGTTCCAACAAAGTGGATTGAGAGCTCGGAATTGAAAGCGAAGAAGAAATGATAATAATGCAGATGAAAAGTCGATGGACCTGTCTTCGGAGCTCAGGCGCTTGGGACATGCGATTGCAGCATTTCTTGGCATGCTCGTAAAATCTCGATGAACAATTTGTATTTCTGTCGTGCCTCCACAGGCATTTGTACGTGTACGTCCAAGATCTGACGTCTTCCGACAGACGAATTTGCACCCTATACGGAAATTATTGTTGTATTGGTGTGCATAGGCAAGGGAATGCAACTATAGGGTCCAACCAGGCAACCTGAAATACCTGAATCTGACTCCACAACATCCATCCTGGTATGTGTTCATTCCTCGTGAAAGGGAAAGTCTCATGAAGGCATTTACCGAGCGGCGTTAGCGCACGCTGATAAGTTGATGCACACAAATACAGCGGTTCAAGTTTGAATATGCTATGAGTATTCTGAACACAGGTAGTGCTACAGGTAACGGCGACGGTGGGGAGACGCAGATGAGATTGAACAAATTCTTTTCCTTCCCTTGGCTCCACCGCTGCCCTGCAGTCGCTTGAAATCTGCAATGTCAAGGACAGGAAAAGGTTTGCGGTATACATCGGACCCTAGAATGGACAGGATCACTGGCTGTGTTGTGAACATGTTCTTATCAGGCTTATCATGTTCTTTTCATTGGTGTCGTTCTGCCAATTGACCCAAAGTGTCTTAAAATTTCCACTGGTCGGGCAGTATTGAAAGAGTTTGAAACCTACAGACTCATTTGAGCATATCGAGAGGAAAAGAATTCCATTGCTGATCGGGAAATTCTTCCCGAGTGCGAGCGAATGACTCGTCAGAATAATGTTGGACACGCCGCCTTCAGGCTTCTCGACTCCATTTTGCAAGTGACTCAGACGTTCAACTACTCATCGTCCAACCCCCCCCC